TGGTAGAAAGAGGAGTGAGTCAGGCCAGAAGGCTCCATTTTCTTCCCTAAGGGAGGATGTGAGTTAGTTCTCTGTTAACTGCCAAGTACTCATTTCCCCTCTTCTTCCTTACAGATTCCCAGTATTATTTGGGGCAGCTCTGTTAAAACACTGCATTTCCCAGCTCCTAGTTGAGCCAGAGGTCATGTGACTCAGCATTGATCATGGAGAAATTAGAAGGTGGGGTTGTTAAGAATGCTCTTTAAAGCCTCAAGTCTTAAGTGTCTTGCACACATTTTGCTCCTTTCTCTCCTTTCCTCCTATAATAGGCTTTGATGTTGGAGCTGCAGCAGCTGTCTTGGGAAGATAGATGGAGTCTGTTCCTACATTGATGACACTGTAGAATGAATACGCTGACCCTGGTTCGCCTACCTCCTTTTATTTGCATGACAGAAAAGACAGCTATTTTTTAAGCCACTATTATTTAGGTATTTTGTTACCAGTGGCCAAATTTCCTATCTGGTTTTGTTGGAGTGTGTGTGTGTCTGTGTGCATGTTAGAAAGCAGAACATAGGACAAATAGGTTAGGGGGCTTGAATTTCTGCATTGCTGTAAAGTCAGTCATGAATTGAAACCACTGAGAGCTGCTGTAGTAGGAAACCAATCTGGATAGCTGTGATTATAAGACACACATTTTTCTTGAACCCACTATCTTCTAAAACTGGTGTCTACACAGTGACCATGGATTGAATGCAAGTCGATCCTACTCTTCTGTATTGCTGTTAACCTACACAATATCTCCCATAAAGACTGAGGTTTACATTTTATGTCATTAGTTTTTATTGAAGGAGAAAAATGCTTTCTTAATTCATTTCAGGTTTAAGATCAGTTCTGCAAATGATTAAAACATGAAAGGCACTTTAGCATACATCTCTCTGAAAACATGAAATTTATGTACACATTATGTTCACCATTGCTCAGATTCAGGGCTTTGAATGGCCTGAGTTTAAAATGATTTTTTTTTTTTTTGTTTTCATGCCAAAATATTTGAGTATTAAGAAAGACCAAACTAGAATGTGCTGGTCAAAAGGTGAGCAAGACTTCAACCCTCCCCCCGCCCGGCAGGCTGAAATCATCTCCTCCTTGGATATACCATGGATACCTTAGATATCTTAAAATATCTAGGTCAGTTAAGAGCTATTCATTAATATGTTTGCTGTCAAAACTGAATTTCTTTTAAAAATTCAACAATTCATGGAAAGAAAACAAATCTTTGCTGTAGCACAAGATGCTCATTTGCCTTCCAACCCACTCTGCATGTAATTCCTGGGGTTTATGAGATCGAAAAATAATTCCAGTTGAAGCCATTTATTTAGTTTTGTGGCAGCTGCAAATACAGCTCCAGAAACAATCTAATCTTCCATCTCCCAATTATTTTTAATGGCTGGATTAATATACTAACCAGATTTATTTGAAAATCCATCTTGGCTGTATTATCAGGACCATGTACAATGGGCAATAGACAAAGGATTTACTGGTTTTAAAGAACTATTAGTATCTTTGACATTTATTTGAAAGTAAATGACACTTCAGTTCATTTAATATTTCAATGATAGCTTATTTGGGAAAGAGAGAGAGAGAGAGAGAGAGAGAGAGAGAGAGAGAGAGAGAGGTGTTTTAAGGGAATAACTGAGAGGCAGATCTTTGTAAAATGAAGTAATATGGAAAACAGTGTACAATGCCACACTTAAACCTCCAGGATGGGTGGAAGAGACCAGGTGGAGTAAGAATTCATTTGAAAGCCTCTCCCTTTTGGAAAAGAACATGCTAGATATCCACAACTCATGTGCATTTAATAAAAAATGTAAACATCGATTTAATTTCAGCTCAGCTTCAGAACAGTAGTAAGGCATTAATTAGAGAATATATTTACCATTTACTCCTCTTTATTCTTGTCTTGCCTGGTCAGGAACTAAATGGACTAAACAGGTCCTCGTGTACATCAATAGAGACAACTCCCTCTTGAAAGACTGCATGTCATTAACGTTAGTGCAACCCCTGACACCTTCCCACAAACCTAAAACCCTGAATGCAGCTGAGGCTGGGAAGAAGCTGTCTCCTGGCACAGAGAGGAGAGTGTGTGCTGATCAAGAGCATGGGTTGGGGCAGCTTGAGGAGACCCCAAGACCCTCAGGGAGCAACCTACTAGGCTATGCCCTTCAGAAGCCCCCACCAACATCAGTCTCCGAATGTCCCCGGAGATGCCACTACAAATCCCATGCCCAGGACACCTGCTACCATCTTCTGAAAATTCTGATTTTTGGGTTTTTTTGCTTGTTAGATTAGACAAAGAGGCCTTGGCTCAGGGCATGAAGAGCTAAGGGCCTTCATTCTGCTCTCAGTAGAATGTGGTTCACAAAATGGAGCTTGCTTCTCATTTTGAATCCCTGGCAGCAATCCTGGTCACAACAGGCAAAGTCTTAGTAGACTTGGGGGTGGGGAAAGTTCTGAAAAGACTCTTCTGTGTGGCTCTGTGGGCCAGAATAGGTATGGAGCATTTGTGGCCTTGGGTTGGGGACATAGCTTCATTCTGCTAGCACGAATAATCAAATTCAAAAGCTGGAACAAGCATTTTTCAAGTGCGTACAAATGTCCCAGCACAAAAACCAGGCCGATGGCCCTAGGAACACAGTGACATGTCATTGTGCCTTCTCCGATGCAGCCTAACACTGCCTTTGCGCTCTCTCCAGCCTAGAGAATGGGTGTTTCAGCTAAATTCAACCTTTGAGTGCCCAGGAGACCTGTAGTCCCCAGGGCATTCCTGGGAGAATGGAAGCAGATGAATTTTTAAACCACATAATTGTGTGTGTGTGTGTGTGTGTGTATGTGTGATAATGTCTAAGCCTTAATAGCATAGTAAAATATTTATCTTACTTTTTTCTCGCTAGCATGCAATCCATCAGTAACTCACTGGAAACATTTAGAAATATCAAGGTCTACTCAGTGGCACTAGATAGACCCAGTCAACATGGATCGGTTCATAGAAGACACGGAGCCCTCACCTCCCTGGATGAGTTAGTACCAGACCACCTGCCTTGCTCCACAGAAAGGGGAGCCTCCGGGAGCACGTCTTATTTTTGATCCATAGAGGAAAAGGCTGTGGGAACCATTGTGGTTTTGGTTTTTAAGATATTATCTTAGCAAATTGGCTCATTCAGGTTAATCTCACCCTTGACCCTGAATTCCCTTGATTCATTTCATCAAAATTCCTCAGCTCATCTTTGATAAATGATGCCAAGTGTATATAGGGATCGGAGTTGGGATGGGGTTACTGATACTAAATATAGTTGCTCCTCACTTTCCAAGGGGTTGGTTCCAGGAGCTACCTGAATACTAGAATTCTTAGATGCTCAAGTCCCATATGTAACATAGCATGAATTTTGTGTATAACCTATGCTTATTCTCCTGTATACTTTAAATCACACCTAGGTTATTTATAACACCTAATACAATGTAAATGCTGTGTAAATACTTATTATATTATTTTGTTTAGGGAATGACAAGAAAAAAGTGATACATATTTAATACAGAGACAATTATTTTTTCAAATATTTTCAGTCCATGGTTGGTTGAATTCACAGATGTAGAACCTGAGAATCCAGAGGGTTGATTATATTAAGTGAATATTTGTTATGTGTCCTTGCTTTTTAGATTTTTTTCACGTTGAGGCTAGAAGGGCTGGCCACAGGAAAAGAACAGCCTCTGAATTAGAGAATGTTAGGAAGGGAAGGGCTGTAAGACCAGGGGCAGAAACTAGAAGGGAACTGGGCACTCTGATCCAGAGGGATGTTAAGCCAGCCTTCCCTTTCTGTCACTCCAACTTTCTCCTAGGGTGCCAAGGGAGCAGATGGGAAGAGGCAAGAGGCAAAGATGATTCAGGAAGTTGTGGAAAGTCCTCTGTGGAGCAGTCATTTTGTGTTCACAGGGAGAGCAGGTCAGGAGCATGCAACCACGTGTGTGGTTGTGTAAGGAGAGATCTGGCTGAAATCACAAAGGGATACAAGTAATTTACCTTTTCCATTTTCTATACTTGTGTGCACTACGAAAAACAAAAAATGACTCAAAGATATCATGAGGCATGAATTCTGGAGGGGTTTTTTAGCACAATTATTTTTAGACCCAAAAGAATTGGTTTTATTCCAAGTAAAACTTGACATTGTGCTTTTCTTTTCTATTTTCCCTTTATTTTATGTAAAATGGCAACTTTTCTAGAAAAAGGAACCTTTTCCCACAAATGCAAATCCTTTAAGGTTACTCATAAGAATGATCAATGTATTTTACTTTCATATGGTTTTAGGGAACAAGACTGATTTTGTACTTGAGTGGATTTTGCTGTTGGATTTATTTTCTGGAAAGAAGCCAGGAGAGAAGTTGCTGAGTTCCCTACAGCTGCTTCCCAAGTGATCTGATCCCTAAGTTCAAAGCCAGCTCCCTTTGAGATGATAGATGGAAGTGAACAAAGTGGTACCTTTCCTAATTCCATTCTGATTAGTGTCTAACTCAGAATACGATCCACACGATCTCAGCTCCAACTTTGAGCCAGGGTCACCTCCTCATTTTCGGATACGTTTACTGGGATCTCAAGTTGCACTCCTGATGCTTGGTGACACATTAACATACAATGTGAGCTGGAAAGACTGCCAGCCAGTAGCCCTTCTCTTCAAGCAGTCCTCCCTCTACCTACTGCAGAGTAACTGCTGCATGGCAATCTAAAAGCACAGCAAATTCCACAAAGACTGCTTCAAAAAGAGATGATTCAAGGGGGAAAATGGGTGAAAAGCTTATCTCCCATCTAATAAATTCTCTGGTGCTCATGCTATAATCCACCACCCCCAAATTTGAGTTTTGGTTGTTCTCAAACTATTCTTCACTAGGGATGCTTCAAAAAACCAAACTCCCCAGGCCATCAAGATGGTTTTGCTTTTACGTAAGCTGTTAAGGATAACTACACAAATCCAAAATAACAGAGGACATCATTTTATTGGCTGTCCATGGTAAGTTCATCACACGAGGAGGTGAAGACTGCAGTGGGGGGCACAACACAATACCTCATCTAACTACAGAACAGAAGGTTAACTTGTCCTGGACAGGATGAACCCGCAGCCCTCTGCAGCCCATGTGCTGCCCGCCACTTCTCGTCTAACGAAGCTGGGTAAGCAGACGATGGCGTTGCCCATTAGGCTCAGTCTGTTGTGCTGTCTTCTAACAAAACAGCACTTGAGAATCCACAAAATTAAAAAAAGAAAGAAAGCAGCATTTCCTTTGGAATACCAACACCACTGTAACACAGACTGTAGTGTGGCATGCAAATCCACATCTGGTCAGGTTTTTTTTCCCTTTAGGATTTTTTTTTTTAAATTAACAAATGGAATGGCATGTCTGTTTCAAATATTAGTAGCATAACACTCGAGTGCAATTTCAGTCTGGCCTCAAGTATCAGGAATCTTCTGTGTGTCTGTCCCAAGGGCAGCAGATGGCACAGCACCCGGGCAGCTTAGCATCGAGGCAGCTTCTTTCCCTCCCAGGCTCCACTCTACCCAGTGAGGGTCCTTCCACCCCAGGCCTACTCTGCAGATCCCAAATACCTGCAAACAGCCACTTCTCTGTGTGTTCATTTTTGTCAATGTGCTCAAGGTGGGGAAGAAATTTCAAATAACATTAAGCTCGGAGGATCTGGGCCCTGTCTGCTCTTTGCCATCAGACAGGGGTGTTTTGGCTTTCTTCATGGTCTTTGTATCCCAGGCCTGGGGCTGTTATCTCCCTGCTGCAGGCACATCCTCTGCTGGCTCCCTCTGCCTGTGGAGGAGCCCTGTGGTCTCAGGGCCACCACTCGGGTTACACGGAGCTGAGCTTCACCAGGCCGCGCACAGAGTCTTCATGTAGAGAGTCCTGGCTGGCCAGGCCCAGCACGTGCATGGTACGGCTGTGGGTGAGAGGGCTGCCCGATCCCAGCATCCTGGGTGGTGAGGGCGCCTCGTCTGGAGTCAGGAACTGGTGGCCCCCATGCTCGTCCTTCAGGGGGAGAATGTCTGACAGCGTGGCCTCGGCAGTGAGGTTGGGCATAGAGGAGGGTGGTGTGGGCTGGCCCAGTGTCAGGCTGGTGCACGGTGTGCCCAGGCCCGGCTTCCCCGGGAGGTGTATCTCATCGCTGGTGAGACTAGGCTCGCTCTGCAGCAGGGGTGTGGCTGCGGCCTGCAAAACGAATTTGGTGCTCTGAATGCACTGGTCTTGGTCGCACTGGAGAACAGCAGGAGCCAGCAAAGAGAAGGTGGAGATAGGATGGAAAGGGGGTGGTAGTGTGGGGAAGGGTGGGTGTGAGAAGAGAGAAACATTAGTGACATCTCGGTCAAGCACAGAGGAAAGAAGCACAGATAGCAGCCCAGATGCACCTGTCTTGAACTTAAAGGATACAATTTAAAACAATCCCCTGGAGTCACCGGCTTTCCCCACCTATAGCAGTTGTGGGCAGCTGCTTCTTATAGGCTGAAAACCACTTTTTACCATATGGCATAAAAAATACACCCACGTTCACAGCAGCGATATTCACAAAGTGGAAGTAACCCAAGTGTCCACTGATGGATGAATGGATAAACAAAACGACATAGCCTCCCCTAATAGAAAGGAATGTGAGTCTGCTATAAGAAGGAAAGGAATTCTGCCACATGTTATGATATGGATGAACCTTGAGGACATCATGCTAAGTGAAATAAGCTAGCCACAAAAAGACAAATGCTGTACATGCCCACTGATATGAGGGACCTAGTCAGACTCACAGAGAGACGGTAGCGGCTGGAGGGAGAGGACTGAGAAGTGTTGTTTGATGTGGGGTTTCAGTTTGAGAAGATGACAAAGTTCTGGAGATGGAGGGCAGCAGCAGCCGCAGAACATGACTATGACTTAATACCACTGAGCTGTACATTTAAAGAAGGGAAGTTTTATGTTTCTGACCAAGTAGAAAAAAGAAAGACAGAAGGAATCACAGAAGGGATTGGGGATTGGATCAGACTGTTCTGTGAAAGCCTAGAATTCCTGCTGTTAAATTTCCACCAGCTTCAAGAACCACGCATCAGTGGGCTTCTGAGGTCTGAAAATGCTGATATCTGAGAAGACGGTTCCTTTTCTTCCAAGTGCTCTGAAGTCTCATCACAGCTATCTCACACCCTTTGTTTCCCTTTAATCACTGACAAAGAAAACAGCATAAATCCCCGGTCACTCTACAATCCCCGTCCTTGAAAATGCACAAGCTTCAGCATAGGTAGACTCCTAGGATGTGGAAATGCTAAACTTGACCTTGCCAGGTTCCTTGTTACTGAGATTCAGAAAGCTGGACGCGCCCCTTTATTCTTTGGAAATTCTTGGAACAAGCCTATTTTCCTCTCTTTACAAATGAAGTAAGGCTCCAGGGGGTTGGAGGGCTTGTTCAACTCCTCATGTGTGAAAGTAGAGGATGGATCAAACATTTGAAGCTGGGATCCTTAGATTGAAAACCAATCTACTCATGCAAATTTGACACACAGTGAATGCTTAATAAGTATCACTTGGCTTACTACACCCTTGTGCTTTTTCAGAACTGGAGAGTTACTAAAGGACCATGTGCTGTATTAATAGTCTTGTGACTGAGGTGCTCCCATGTTATCCTAATACCACTACCATCTGCGGCCCCAGACACAATGCAAAGGAAGTGTCAGCAGCCTTAGGGAGAACAGGGAGAGGGTTTCCCTCAACTTGCAGATCCCCAGGTGTTTATTTCATTTGCCCTAATGTGTGCCCTGCACTGGTTCCTACCCCGCCTCCAGCCTAGATGAGAAAGTTGAATTTGCTACAGACTCTAAGGAACTAGCAGGTTTAGGAGCTCAAAGTCCTTGGTTCCAGGTAAGAGTCAAGCTCCTAGGGGAGCCTTAAGGGGGGAAAGCTGGTCTCAGGGTGAGTCTTTGCTTTTCTCTCATGCCCCTCAAACCTACCAGTGGGTGGACCACCAACAAAACAAGGAGACCTGGGAGAGGCTTGGGAGGATGGTGAGGGAGAAGAAGCATGTGAGGAGCTACTCCGAGATGGAAGGCCACTGAGAAGCACTGGAAATGGGCTGACTTTCAAGCCCATTGAAAAGGTCTTATGCAAGTCCGTAAGACCTGAATGTATTCATTTTCCTGAGAGTCATCCAAATCATTTTTGCCTCAGTGGTGGTTTCTCAAGGTGGGCAATTGAGCAACTCTCTGTGCCCTCGCAGGGAGGCTGGGTCAGGGTGTGGATCCTTTGGGTGGTCGAGCTGAGTGAGGCTGGCCAGCTTCAGACTGTGTGGTAGGTCAAGGCAAGCTGGCTCCTGCTCCCTGGCAACCTCTCGGCTCCATCAGGACTTTCCCTCAGGCTCAACAGGGCAGCAGCAGAGAAGCACAGCCTCTTTGATTGCCGTTCATCTTCAGGATGTCATGCCAGGGTTGGATGGACTATGCTTTATGAGGGCTGTTTTACGAAAACAACCATTTAGCACTCTTCCTGGAGAGGCAGCTGTGCAGCTGCAATGCTCCAGCTGCCTGGGACTCAGTACAGACCTCAGGAGGCCCTGCCCATGAACTGGTCACAGGGCTCCAGCTCAGTTCAGTAGCCTTTCCTGGATGATGGGGTCTTGTCAACCTTTCTCTCTGGAGTCCTTATACTCATCCCATACTCTGTCCAACACAATCCCTCCAACTCTAAGGAATGAGAAAATTGCAAATTAATTTGTTTGTCTCCATTGACCTAAAGAAAATCCTTTTTATTGAAAATTGGAAAATTCTATTTTAGAGTTCAGCCTGAGTACTTCCAAATGGCTCTTACAGGTTTTAGAGGTCAGAGCTGGAAGCCACTTGGTAAGAGAATGAGGGGATTTGGGTTCCCTATACTCTGTCTCTTTCTCCCTCTTCCTTTCTCTCTGTTTCTCTCTGGTCTGTCTACTCCGAGCTCCCACATCAATTATCCTTTTTCTCTTTCCTGACCACTTCCCTCCCACTCATGAGCAGAGGACATGGGCACCCACCAGAACCTCCTGGAGTAATATGGCTGCCAATGGGGTAGGGGGTGAGGACAGTGACATTCCTGAGAGTTTGTGCTCCCTGGAAAGATCCATGTGTCTGTCTTCTGAGGCTTTAGCTACAAGCATTACTTTGCTGCCTTAAAGCAAATAGCACAGACCTAGAGGCAGATTTACTATGAAGCTAAGGAAGCTGAAGCTGGGGGGCCCGTGGCTAGCACAGCTCCCTCCCAAGGCCTTGCACTCAGTTTTCTTTTCCCTAAGGAAGCCTCTGAGGTGAGCTGCAGGCCCCTCCAGACCTAGCCCACTCCTGAACGCACCCACTGGTGCTGTACTGGGGTCAGATTAGGACTTGTTAACAACTCACTGGCTAGCACCCAATTAAAAATGCTCTCTAGTTCATTATGGGTAAAGCTTGAAGATATCAGTGAAAATAAAAATTAGTGAAATAAAAAGCTCAGCCTAAGCCCCTGAATTAAACAAATCTATATATAAGTCACTCAGAAATATTTTCCAAATGACTATTTTAATGCAGACTTATCTGACTTTAAGCACTTCTTCTGAATAGATTTGTTTAAATATCTTAAAATATAATTGTCTCTCCAAGTGTAGCCATAGGTGTTTCTTCTGCTCTAGGGACTGCTTCTGTATGAATAGTTGACCTATACTATATTCCATTTACCTGGTTCCAGTGGACACAGGTCCTGGGACTATGAACCTAAGTGTCTAAATCCTGCTGTATCCCGTGACTTTGAAAATAGTTTGCCACATTCAAAATTGACTTCCATTTAGAAGGCCAACCCTATGTGGGCACACAGGGACCAGGCTCTGTATAGAGGGTATAGGGTATTGCTCATGTGAAACTCTTGTCAGCTCATAACAGAGGACTTCAGGATTTTTATCATATTCTACCCAAGAAGAGTGTATAACTCTATCCATTGGAATTTATAGTTCTCATAATATTACCTTTGCCTGTTTTGATCATCTTAGAAAAAAACTCAGATATCAAGTGATTTAGGGATATCTGATTTTTAAAAATGTCAGTTTTCCCATTTTTTTTTTTTTTACTGTGTCAACATCCCACAGATGGTAGATTGATAAACCTCCACTGTGTTAATTCCCATATGGGAAATTCAGGAAGGAAAATGATCAATATATTCAGGGCCACTATAGAAATGACCCATGAAAACTTCTCTCTCTCTGTCTCTCTTTGTCTGTCTCTTTGTCTGTCTCCGTCTCTGCCTCTCTTCTCTGTCTCTCTCTCTGCAATCCTTCCGCCTCAGCAGCTGGGATTACAGGCATGCATCACCATACCTGGATTATGCCTCTTTTTTGTTTTTTTTTTAATTTGTTTGTTTGTTTTGTTTTTGGTACTGGGGATCGAACCCAGGACCTTGTGCTTGTGAGGCAGGCATGGAGCCACTGAGCTAAATCCCTGGCCCCACTTTTTTCTTTTTTAAACTTTGCCTCTAATTCTTATTTGCCCATTTCTTGTTGACTTTTCTACTTAATTTTCTCTCTCTTTTTCTCTCTGGCTTTACCCATCTCTTCCTCACTTTTTTCTCTCATTGGTCTCTCTCCTGCATCTCCTTTTTCTCTATTTCCTCTTTTTGTTTTTGTCCCCTTTTATACCTCTTTTATCTTGAACTTTCCACCACCCTGTCTTCCTGGCTTTTCATTTGAGGATGCTTTTACTTTCCACCAGTAGAGGGAGACATCACTGTTTGTTTTCTCTCTTAGAATTTGTTCTGTGCAAACATTCCAACTAACACTAAGAAGTGTTAGATATGTTTTATCTGATCAGTTATATAATCATAAGGAAAAACATCCTAACACCCAGACTTTTTTGACCGTGACAGTCCATCTACTATGAACAGTAAATTGAGAAATTCATGTATTCATTCCAAAGATAGTCCATATTTATCAATTAGAGTTGAGTCATATGAACTTGCCAGTTTTCTCTTCTTTTTTTTTTTGGTATTGGGGATCGAACTTGGGACCTTGTGCTTGCGAGGCAGGTGGTGGAACCATTGAGCTAAATCCCAGGCCCTGAACTTGCCAGTTTTTAAGGTCAAATATTGGTCAAATGCTGAATAGAACAGAAGAGGAGATTTATCTCTAGCGAGAGCTTTCTTCTGAACACACCTGAAATGCTGTCTGAAGTGCTGGAGTTTGCTGTACTTGC